CTAGCTTCTTGATAGCCTCACCATATCAGCTATCCCTGACTCAACCTAACCTAAGTTGCTGGGTTTTTTGTAGGTATTAGAGCATAAATGGGTCTCTTGCAGAGAAGCGTGATCAGTTCAGGGAGGGCACTTCATGCATGAGGGGCAGCATAAAAGAACGCATATAGATATTTGTGGGAAAAGAGGAGAAATGGGAGGTCAAAGTTAGTATCACTGGCAAGTTAGAGGGGATGGGGACTATGCAATGGGGAATAAAAGTGATTAAGAAAGGAAGGGTAGGTTCAAAGGTGAGGACAAAAAGCTTCAATTTGCAGAGCCAGTAGAGGGACTTCAGTAGAGTTGTGACATGGGCAGAGCAACAGGGAAGGATGATGATCTTAGCAACTATATTTTGCACATATTAGAGTGAGTGGTATGGATACCGAGAGGAGGGTAGAGTAAACAAGCTGCAAGAACATGAGGGCCTGGAACAAAAGTCTTAGCACCATGGACAGAAATAAAAGGTTGAATTTTGGAAATGCTTTGGATGAAGAAGTTGCTGGATTTGAACATGGCTCTGCACATTTAGGCCATAAGAGCAAAGGGTATCTAATAACTTCTCAGCTAAGAGACGAAAAGTCACCATCTGATGACTAAACCCCAAAACAGAGCTTTTTTATATAGCAAATCAGATTGGCACTTTGTGCGCTGAACAATTGACACAAGATTTTAGATACCTGCTCCACAGAGCCCCGATGGCCGGCGTCCTGTGTGCATCCAGTCTCTTTTCATCCTCTGTAATAATCTTAGAGCTGTCATTGATACCTTCTGGTTCTTTTCTCCAAATTCTAGCATGTGCGCAAAACGAGGAATATATAAACATGGATCTGCAACACAATAAAATACAATTATTTCTAATCTTGACTTTTAGCTTTTGAAACATGCACCCTGAACAAGTGTACCACAGACATTCCATGGTTGATTTGCTATGTATCTCAGTAACAGAAAACTCCTACAACAATGCCTTTTTTTTTTTCCTTTTTTTCTTTTTTTTTGGAGACTGGATCCTTTGACCTGGTGATTCTTTAGAAACACCTTTTTAATCTCTGTACCAATTAACAGCTAAAACACTATTCCTTTTTTGCTTTACAGTTAAACATTTTTAAAGTATCCTCATGGTGTATTCCACATATACTCTTAGGCCACTGTTCTGCAATGACTGGTACATGTGCCTAACTTTATGCATATTATGGACAATAATGGGTGACTCCGCATATGTGTTAACTCAAGCATTTGCAGGATTGGGGGATAATTTAGATCCAAACTTTTTAACATTCACCGGTACAGCAACATGTATACTAACTTATGTGTCTCTGTACCTAACTGTAAATTATTATCCTTTGAAACATAATCTGTTTATAAATAAAATATTACTACCAAAAGTCTACACTTTTCTCCAAATTTAACCAGCTACAGTTCCTTAATCAAAATTCCATAGTCACCGATTCATACTCCAGCAAAAGAAAAAGCTGTTTGTCAGGCACACCAGAACATAACTTCAGCTGGTGTAAAATGTCATTGACTTCAACGAACTAAGATAATTTACACCAAATAAGTATCTGCCCCTCTATGTATAAGGTAATTTCAAATTTTGGTGTTATCAGCTATAGACTAATAGAACAGCAAAAAGCTGTCTGTATGGGTGGTTGCTTTACCTAAACCAGCTTCTAGTTTATCAAATAGAGTCTTTTAAAAGCTATGCTCTATACTTGTTTACTCTTTTTTCCGGGGCATCATTTTCTCATTTCCTGGCAGCCTCTTATCACTTGACCCAAAATCTATGGGGTATGGTAAATTGTTAACTATTACATTCAACTCAATTTCCTTAGCTGATTCCCCATTTGGGCACTTTAACTGATAAACATTCATTTAAATAGTCTTACAGATTTGCAATTAATCAAACCAGTTACATTTTACTACTAAGTTCAAACAATGGATATCCTGTTGCCATTTCCAATTACCAGGACTGCACTACACACCTCCAGCCTTTCCATTTAAAAGTCTGCATATTTTACTTTAAATCAAAAACTTCGAGACATAAGTATTTCTCCCAAAGAATTTTGAAATTACAAAATGGAATCAACTAGTAAACATGATTATAAATAAAACAATAGAAATATTAACTCCCAAAGGCAATTAGTAAGGAAAACAGAATAATTCCCACTGTTCTCCAATCATCATCCATATCACATCTAACATCAGGGATGTCTGTCTAACAATGTATTTTAAGGTGTTTATCACCAAAAAGTAACTGGATTGTCTGAAAGAATACACCAGGGATATCTACCTTCAAATCCTTCAGTTAAAAAAGAAAAAACCACACCACCACCACTATAAAGGTCTTTCAAAACTATGGTCTCATTTTTAAAAAAAAAATAACAAAAACCTGTTTAAGTCATAATTCAACAAAACAAAATGACCCTTTAAAGTGAAAACTCATTTCTCTAGCTTTTTACATTTCCAATTTCCATTTTACATTATTCCAAAACACCAAATGTGTTACGGTGACAATTCCAAAATCTTCACAAGTTCACTTGGCAGGGTTTATACAAAACGGCTCAACTTAGGTGGGAGCTGAGGCCACTCAGCACCCCAGAAAATCAAGGCCTCAAATGAGGGGAGGAATTTATTATTACTTTAAATTCTTCAGAGCATTTTTTCGCTGTAATTTCTATGAACTGACAAACATTTGCATTGTAGCTTTCCAGGAAATTCTGCCGACATTCATGCCCACAGATCATTTGACAGAAACCAGTTTGTGCTACACATTATTAATTTACATTTTTAAACTAGCGAAACAATCAGAGTCTTGAAAAGTAGTAAATGCAAATGACTTAAACAAAAACAAACACTGAAAAGAAGCTCTCCACCAACCGGCAGACTGCAAATGGCTGCAATGCAATATTAAGAGTATAAGAATTAAATGTAGGTCTAGGATGAATGTAAAACCAACTTCTTAATTGGATGCAAACAAGCCAACACATTTTTAAAAAGTTAAGTTAGAAGTAGAATACTGCGTTTTTTTTTAAACTCATTCCAAATAAATGCGCAGATGCTACAGACTGCTCCAGGCTGGCAGAACTCTGCTCCCATACAGAGCCCTATTGACTTCAGGGAAATACCGTACATTTGCAGGGGTCATTCTGAGCCAAACAGCTTGCAGGATCAGCTACTAGTTATGTTTATTTATGCTACTACAGCTTGCACGCTTCAGAAAGTTCCCCCCCATCCTTCCTTCCTATCCTACCTTTGTTGTGACACCTCTGCTTTCAGCAGTACTCATCAAAACAGATGACACACATTTCAGGGTGAAAAAAGAGGTGGCCACAAAATTTCAAAATCATCATTATGAGCCAGAAAGCAAGAATTGCTGGATCATACAAAACAGAGAAGGCATAAATGTGTGGTCTGTGAACAGTTACTGTAATACAGTGTGCTTCAGGAGGTTAATGACAGGCCTTGGTCAGAAATGACTGCTCCTCTTATCACCACCACCATCCCACACACAAAAAAACCCCACAGAAAGTGTGGCAAAGCTATAATCCAGCGAAGTGCTAGAAATCAAACTCAGAGGTGAGGGCAATAGTGGTGCAAGTTACACACTGGTAAACAGAGACTAGTCAGGAGCAGGAGTGTGACACCCCAGGTGTGGAAGGGTGATGGATGGGGTTGTAGCTGGGAAAATAACCAACAGGCTGGGGGTTTAAGATAAAGCCCAGCCGTTGCCTTTCCTGCTACAACCCCACCCTCACACTGTCTGGATGTGTGCAGGATACTCCAGTTTCCACGCACTCGGAATGTAGCCCAAGTGTCAGCTGCAGTTCTCACTTACATCCTGAATATCCCTCACTGCTTTTACCACCGGGATAACTTAATGTTTTGTCTGTGCTCTTGCGGCTCCGAAAAGTCCAAACCCTGGAGGGAGAAACGGCCTGACAGCAAGCAGCTTTGCGCGAAAGGCGGCCGCAGAAGGCCTTGGGGCGCCCTCGCTCGGTCCGGCTGGGAACGACTGGCTGCACAGAAACAGGATCTCAGACCCAGACCCAGCCCCCTCCCGTCTTCCCAACCATTTCCATAATCATGGCTTCTGACTCCACGGAGCAGCCTGCCGTGCAAACTTTCCCAGCTCGGTGTGGACGGAGGGACGCCTGGTGAGGGCGGCAGGTACAGTGACCCCGACTTTTTGCGTGGTCTGGGGCAGGCTGGGTCTCTGCAGAGCTCCCCCGCAGCTGGGCAGCAGCTGAGTCCCAAACTGCAGCGCTGCTGTGCCTCTGCGTGGCATTTCTGCCGTGCCTGCTGGGGCTCCCACTCTGCAACATGTCAGACTTGCTCTGCTGCTGCAAGTAATGCCCGGGATCGGGAAGAAAACAACAGCCTCGCAGGCTCTCTAGGTGCACGGGCGGCGGGGAGGGGGAGCGAAGGGAGGCTTTCAGGAAGAAAAGTCGCTCCGATCGCCAGCTCTGCCCCCATCTGTTTACTGCCTTCCTGGTTCACCTTGGCTCAGCATCAAAGCCCGAGTCAAGCCAAGCTCTGAGCTGCCCTCGGGCGGGGGGGACGCTGCAGAGCTGGGGGCTCTCCCGGGGAAGTTGAACGCAGACTGCGGATCGCCCGTGGGGCTGGGTTTACTTTGCAGAGGGCTGGAGGGAAGTTGGCGGGGTAGGTCCCCATTGCACCGGGGGAGGGGGGTTGCTAGTGTAAGGCTCCCCCCGCCTCTGGGGGTGAATTTGGAGCATCAGTACATTTGGCTCCATTGCAGCCTTTCCTGGGCGGTGGATTTTGGCTCCCTGTAATTTTCCCAAGCGGCTGGGGGGGGGGGGGGGGCGAGCTGGCGGGTAGGAGGGAGCGGAGAAGAATGACATATTGTCTGGGAAGGGAGGGAGCCCGGGGCCGGGCCCCGCCGCTCCCCATTGGAGCAGGCGGGCGTGACGCGCGGGGCCGCGGCTGGCTATTTGAGGCAGGAGGCGGAGGGAAGCCGACACACACACACACACACACACACACGGAGGGGGCAGCGCACACGCGTGAGGACACGGGCGCCCGGCCCCGCTGCTGGCTGCAGAACCACAACCGCGCAAGGAGGCGGCAGCGCCCGCGGAGACGCGCCCAGCGGCTCTGGCCTTTCAGGCGCAGGGGCGCTGCGCGGGGCACGGACCCTCACACCGCCCCGTGGGCATCTGCTCCGAGCAGGACTGAATCTGGGAAAGTTTTGTTCGGCGGGCAGCGCGGCGGGATTCACAGCAGCCGCCTCCCCTCGCGTGCGGAGGAATTACAAGGTGCGGACTGGGACCCGCAGCCAGGGTTTGTTCGGCCCTTGTTTAAATACTGGGGCTGGGAACTTGCTGCTCTCTCTGCAGATGTTTAACCCTTGCCCGGAAGAAGGATCCGAGTCGCCTTTCAAAGAAGATCCAGTGGTTGGCAGCAGCTCGGCGCTGGCTGGGCTTTAACTCTTGGGGGCTTTATGGATTGACTCTGCTACTCCTCCTTTTGGGGAAACACTTTGCCTGTATCCCTCCTGGGGTCTTCCTTTGCAATCCTGCCTGTGGTCTTGAGGCTGGGACCTTCAAGCAAAGGTGAGCACTGGCATCATTCCTTACGGCACTGTTCTGCTCCCTAGAAAAGGCGCTCGGGGCTTCTGAGCAAAAGCCGCAGTTTAAAATCATAAGTATCCAGGTAGTGGGACCTGACTTTAGAATAGCTGTCCTCTTGCTCATGCCACTGCCCCATGGCTGCCTCAATGGCAGGATCATGAAGTGTTTGACTTTCTTTCTTCTGCTTCCAGAGACCTTAAAGAAGTCCAAAAAGAGCGTGAGGTCAAACGGCAAGGTGCCAGCATGCTATGAGGTAGTGCCCCTCTCCCTGAAGAAGAAGATGGCTGCAGAGCTTTACCCTGCCAGCGCTAACACCAATATTGCAAACAGTAATAACGCTGCTGCCACCGTCACTGCTGCTGCCAATAGCAAGAAAAACGCCCTTCAGCTTCAGCAGAGTGCCCAGCCGCCGCCGCCGCAACTGCAAAACCTGAACAACAACAATTTGGAGAGCTCCAACTGGCAGTCCTTCCACCCCACCCTGCGGGAGAGGTAAGTGCCAGCCTGGCCAGAGTGTACAGAGCCTGGGCAGCCCTTGCCCCCCCACCCTGCAGGAGAACTATAGGGCAGGAGCCAGTCCCATGGCATCCCCCTTCTGTGCCAAAGGCAGGGAACATGGGTTGTTTAGCAATGAGCAGCCCTGCCACCCAACACTGGGTGGGAAGAGAAAGTCTGGCTCCCCAAGCCAAAAAAACAGCAAGTTGTGGCAGTCACAGGCCCCCTGCAGCCTAAGGCCAGGGGAGTTCAAGTATTGCATCTGTATATTGGCCACATTCTGCTCTCAACTCACTTGTGCAACCACCGACTCCACAGTGAGAGAAGGTATCCCACTGTGTCCCATTGCACCAGCTGTAGCAAGGGGGTGGAGTAGACACCTACTGAAACCAGGACTCAATTTATGTAGCATTAGGTCGCATTGTGGCATCAGGTGATAAACTTGGCAAGTCTAATTTGGTTTCTCCCTTCCTGTTACTTTCAGGAACGCACTGATGTTCAATAACGAACTTATGGCTGATGTACATTTTATCGTAGGCCCCCTGGGGGCATCAAAGAAAGTTCCTGCCCACAAGGTTTGTGCAGCTGATATTTTTTCCTTCTGCTAGGGTAGTGGAGTTAACTTGTCTTATTATGATATTTTTGTCTTATCTCCAAAGTAAATAAATAACTTATTTATATCTTAATTATAATGGGACAGTTTAAGGGATTTCTATTTGAACTGAAGCTTTTAAGTTTCCCCCAGTATCTCTTCTGTCAGCTAGTATGTTTAATTACTACAGCTACATACTAAAGACATACTTGTCTTTTTTTTTTTAACAGTATGTTTTGGCAGTTGGTAGCTCTGTCTTCTATGCTATGTTTTATGGTGATCTTGCAGAGGTCAGATCTGAAATCCATATACCAGATGTGGAACCTGCAGCCTTTCTAATCTTATTAAAGTAAGTGGCCATTAGGAGTCTACAAATCCTGTGGAGAGACTAAAAGTGGTTTATAAAAATCTTTAAAATCTTTTAAACGGCATCTAGGAACATGCAGCTATTACACTTTATTAAATGTGCTGACAAATGTCAAATATGACAAATTGCTACTTGTCAGTTATGACAATTGTAGCTTAATCTCTCAGGGCTTATATTGCTTTTAAAAATACTTGTTTTTTATTCTGTTTAGGTATATGTATAGTGATGAAATTGACCTGGAAGCTGACACAGTGCTCGCTACTCTGTATGCTGCCAAGAAGTATATCGTCCCAGCCTTAGCAAAGGCTTGCGTCAATTTTCTGGAGACTAGTTTAGAGGCTAAAAATGCTTGTGTTCTGCTGTCTCAGAGCAGACTCTTTGAGGAGCCAGAATTGACCCAGCGCTGCTGGGAAGTAATTGATGCTCAAGCAGAAATGGCATTGAAGTCAGAAGGCTTCTGTGAAATTGATCAACAAACACTAGAGATCATTGTAACCAGGGAAGCACTAAACACTAAAGAGGTGGTAGTTTTTGAGGCTGTTCTTAATTGGGCAGAGGCTGAATGCAAAAGACAAGGGCTACCAATTACACCAAGGAACAAGAGGAATGTATTAGGAAAAGCTTTATATTTGGTGCGAATTCCAACTATGACTTTGGAGGAGTTTGCCAATGGAGCTGCTCAATCTGACATCCTTACCCTTGAGGAAACACATAATATATTCTTATGGTATACAGCTGCAAATAAACCCAAGCTAGAATTTCCACTGACAAAAAGAAAAGGACTTGTACCTCAAAGATGCCATCGATTTCAATCGTCTGCATATCGTAGTAACCAATGGAGGTACAGAGGTCGCTGTGACAGTATCCAATTTGCTGTAGATAAAAGGATATTCATAGCAGGACTAGGCTTGTATGGGTCAAGCTGTGGTAAAGCTGAATACAGCGTCAAAATTGAACTTAAGCGTCTAGGAGTTGTTCTTGCTCAAAATCTGACAAAGTTTACCTCTGATGGATCCAGTAATACTTTCTCTGTGTGGTTTGAACACCCTGTGCAGGTTGAGCAAGACACATTTTACAACGTAAGTGCCATTCTTGATGGCAATGAACTTAGTTATTTTGGGCAAGAGGGAATGACTGAAGTACAATGTGGAAAAGTAACATTCCAGTTCCAGTGCTCCTCTGATAGTACCAATGGAACTGGAGTACAAGGAGGACAAATACCTGAACTCATTTTCTATGCATGATGCATTTTACTTCGACTGTATTCCAGTACTGCTATTCACACTAAAGGATTTTTTTGATTACTACAAACCTCTACAGCAGTGTGGAATGTTAGGCTACTTACCTATCTACTACATCAGGCTATCAAAATAAGTGAAGGAATGCTCTTGAATTTAATCTTATTTTATTTATTCATAAGATATTTGACTTAATTAAAACTGCAACATGCAGAAAAATGTTAAATTCTGCACGTAATGTGCATTTATTTTGTATATAGATAACTAACTCGCAGACTGCAGCTGACTCAAGCAGGATGTTCTAAACTAGAGCAGTTTATGAATCTGTGAAATATAAAACATTTTTACTTGCCCTAAAACCTGTGTACTTGATCATTGCTGATCGTATGACTTGTGTCTGTTAATATATCTATAGTACAGTTTAGTGGTGGGATTCCTAAGAAAATGATAAACAGAACACTCAGACTACTGAGTTTGTCTATAAAAGGCATAACTATCAGCACAAATATAGAGATTGCTTTGCAAGGTCACTAAAGCTCTCCACAAACAGGCACACTATACAGTTTCTTCCCACCTTGGAGGTGATGTATAAGGAAGCACAGTTTTCTTAAACTTCAGTGACAAAGCAGAAAGGTTTGAGCGACTGTAAAGCTGATTTTAAAAAATATCCTAAGCTTTTATTTGAAACCTTACAAGATTTCATTCAGATTAAGTTCTCTGCAGCTACTGCATTTGCTCTTTGTAGAGTTAGGGAAGCTTTAGATTAAACTGACATCTGTCCCATTTTCAAGTAAATTGCAACAGACTGGTCTAATGTCTAGGCCCTTGTCTACACACAGTTAAAAACAGATTTATTAAATTGGTTCAGAAACTGTGTGTGGACTAGGATAATTCGAAACCAATGTATGAAGTAAGAACTTTGACTCTGTTTTATGTATATTTGGTAAAAGTTACAGTACTAAGCCACATTTAAATGCAGCTTTATATATATATATAAAATCCTTACAATCTACATAAACCCACTGAAGGAGCTAAGAACTGAAATATCAATAATTAAACTGCCCAAATTCAGATGCTAGCTTGAGAGACACACAGTCTGATAAAAAAAATCTTAAATAGTACATTTAAAATTCCTGATGATGAGGGAGGAAGCCACCTAAACAGGCTGCACACCAAGAGCACCCTCTTTGCTTTTTCATACAGCTGACAGGTGAAATAATCCCTCAAATGTACTTTATCACATATTTACACCTGTTGAGCTAATTCCAGGATACAGACTACAAAAATGACTGAAGTAGCTTTTTCTATCATTCGAGATTAGGCAGTTGAAAATATTTACTGTGTACTATAAGTAGGACCCTTTTCTCATCCTTGTAGCAGTGACCTTGGAAAAAGTACAAAACGGGGATTAGAGATTTTTTTTTTCCTGGTGTAAAAAGTACCACTAATATTTAGTTTAAAGGCTTGCTTGTTTTCCAGACAAATATTCGCTGGCTGCTGTAAGACAATTCAATTAAAATACAAACAATAATACAGGACTTCCTGTTCTGTCTTTAGAAACTGCAGTGCAAAATACTGAGGGAGCTGGATTTCCACTGCAAAAATCAGAGGGAGAATATTCTTTTCATCTAGTATTAAGATATGCCAAGTGAACTAGCCCAGTGACTTGGCTGATAGCTGTGTATTGTCACATCTTATCGAGACTCCATGATCACTGAACTCAGTATTTGGACAGGTGATGCTTAGTTTCCAGGGAGAGCAATGTTCTCAAGTGCTCCTCAAGGGCTAGCTGTAAGTAGACTGAAGTTGCCTGTTTGTTGATGACAAAAAAAATCTCTCAGTCCCTCAATGCAGACTAAAAGATGTTAAGTTGAAGGAAATACAGGAGAGAGAAAAATATTAGAATAAAGAGGCAGGTAACAGTCACACGATACCCTTATGAACCAATCCCTTTAAGTGGAGTTAGCAAGGTTTTCTGTGGCTCAGAGTCTGCCAGGCTTGACAAAGTACTGAAATGTAACACGCATACACTGCTGTCTGGAGCTGCTACTACTAAAAGCAGATTTTAATATATATGTTAGATTAAAAACTGTTTTCATACAACATAACCTGTGCTTATTTCAACCACCACTTTTAAAACAAAAATAATAGTAGAAGTAAACTGATTACTAACGTTCTCTCAAAACAAAGCTCCTCATTTTCCATAAATCCTCTTGTATTTCAAGTGTTGACATCAGCAGCTTCAGGTGCTGAACACAGTAAATTTAGAAAATACTTAACCTAATATTGTGTCTTATTTGGTTGAACTGAAATATGACAAGTCTGTACAAGCTTGTAGATAAGCATCTCTCTCTCATGTCAGTCCATACTCTCATTAAGGCTTACACTATTCTTATACTAAGAGGTAGTGAATGACATTTTACTGGAAAAGAAAATAGTGTCGAGCTTACGTGCATTCAACAGCAGCCCCACTATTGTGTTCTCTATTTTAAGATGACTTCTACACTTCAGTAACTGTCACATTTTATCTCTGGACTATGAATTTCATTTTAAAGTGCCCCTTTAATACTGTACTGTGCAAATTTTTGGCCTTCTAAGAGCAATCGTGAAACTATAGTAAAGTATACCCAAGTACTGAAAGCCAACTCTTAAAAAAATACCTATAGCTGGAGCATTTATGCAGAGCTCTCTGGCCAGCAGAAGGAAAGTTTTTCCCAGCACATAGACATTCACCTATTAAAGACAGAAAACATTATTTGCACCTTAAATAGCAAACATTGAAAAAAACACTCCATTATACAGAGATGAAAATCCACCTCTGAAACAAACAAGTGGCTTTTGTTAAAAAAAAAAAAATCACCCAGATATTTTAAAGTGAAAGTAATCATTTGATGCAATCGGATTTATAGATCATAGAGGTAAGCTAAATTCTCATTAAAAGATATATGAAAAGTTAAAGCTGTGACACAAGCCAAAACAGAAAATCACTAAAAACACTGCACTACTTTGCAACAGGTTGCCTATTATGCTTTTCAGTGGGCCCCATTTTGTCCTGGAGTACTTGGGCAATTTCCCAGTTTGTCAGTTTATAGCTCAAAACACACATCGTTACATTAAACTATAACTCTGCAGTGGCACTCGTCTCTTCACTTAACAAAACCTGCAAGTTAGTGCAATTTTAGCTTTGTTTAATCATGTAAAGTGGTATAATTAGAATTTCACAAGCACAAACAAAACTACTTTTCCACGCAGGGAGGGAGTGGCACTCAGTGCTCCAAGGATTTTTGCCTTCCCTAATTTTTCAGTTACTATCCTCAGTTCAACATATTGGTTTTTTTAACCTATAAAGCCCTCAGTGCTTAGGAGACCTGGTTACCAGAAAGACTGCCTCTCTCTCAGTGTTTAAACTGCCACAGTTGAGCTCAGGTGCTCGAGCTGAGGCTCCCTTAATATAAATAAGGGGGAGCTGCTAGCATGGCATTTTCTGTGAGGGGTCCTCAATTTTGGAACAGTCACCCTCACCTGAGTCCACCAGACCTCAAATTTGTTGACTTTCCATGCACGCTGTAAAAGCTCATCTTTTTCCCCTTCTTTTCTGAGGCCGCTGAGGAGACTGTAGGCTCAGGAGATGTTTATGGGCAGCCGTTTGTTTATATTCCTATAATGACTTTTAATTTATGGGCTAGGTACTTAGTCGTATTCCAAAAGTTTGAAGAAATGAAATAAAATAATGTATTAAGTTGTGCTTTTCTGGCCTTAGGAGAGGGCTGGATGTTGCTATGCTTCAGTTCCAAATTGACTGTGGGTATTCCTACATGAGCATGCTGCGGCCCCAAGGCATAAATACATGTCAAAGTTAAGAGACTCAGACCTCTGACATGATACTAAAAAAAACAGTCCTTGTTTTTTATTTAAGTAGTCTATGTTTAGTGGTTTTACACAGCAGAAGTGTCCCTCTGCCATGCAAAGTGAAATTGGTTAGTAGAGAGCGAAGTATGCACCTGGGCTATTGAAACATATCAAACAAGCTTACGGAAAAGCATGATGAAGATGCAGGCCTCCTGTTAATAAATATACTCATTCTGCATCAAAAGCTATTTTTTAAAAAAGTCATCCAATTTGAAGTGAACTTTCTTCATCAAAGTATTTTCAGGTCGTCTTCTCCCCTTGTTCAGGATGGGGAAGTGATAGGAGATTTTTCTGTACTTTAATTCTACTTGATTTTTTTTTTTAATTTAAAACCATTACAAGAATCTCCAAGGCTGTCAGTCATCTTCAAAGAGATCATTCAATCTATCACTCAAATATAGATGGGTATTATTTCACTTAGTATATTTAGTGGAATGTGTTGAATATCTCTCTTACACAACCTCTATATATGACCAACAGTGAGACAGGACTAGCAGGTAGATAGATAACTGTAGTGTTATCTGTAGGGCTATGGAGAAAGGATGGTACAATTTAAACCCAGAGAGGAAGTGACCAAAATTGAAATGTGTCCCTTTAATCAAGATTAGCCTTGATGGGTACCAAGGTACAGAAATATATATAGATACCCAATACCTAGCATTTCCTGTAGAATTTGATACTGTATGGTTTATTTCCTTTTTGTGAGCCATGAAGATAGAACAATTTTTACTAAAGCAAAACTATGCAATGTTTCCAAGGGTCTCTCACTTCCATTGATTTGGGTTCTCTAAATGCACTGCAGTTTGTTTTGACAAACTACAACGTGAAAAAAATCTCTTAAATCTTCTTAGTAGTTTAAGCCTCTTAGTTGGCTGACCTGGAATTATATATCTTAAACCTCATAATTTAGAAATCTGACCTGCAAGAAGGATTTATTATACAAGTCAATAAAGTTACTCCATTAGAGCCAACCACATCATTTTTCCATCCCAAGCCTCACTGACTCACCCAGTTCTTTCATTTAGTCTAGAAAAAATACAAACCAACAGATGAAAATATTTATCATCTCCTGTTTTTTCTTTTTTGACAGAAGGCTCAAATACCTCCTTTTTGTCCCCATCTGACCACATAATTGCAGACAATACACTTAACACTCCTCCCCAGCAAATTTTCGATAAAAACATCAATTACAGAGTAAATAAATACCAATAGGCATAAAGACACAGTTTCCCACAGTGAAGTCCTCCTAAGAGTCAAGGATTGCAGGGAGGGGGTCACATTAAGTTTTCAGCAGAGCCAAGTGCATAGTCAAATTGCTGTATCACTGATTCTATCATCCATTCCTGGGTCTAGCTAAAGTCTCCAGATCTAGGACCTACCTGAAAATCTAAATCTAACCTGCTTCTTACTTCACCCACATCATATACAGTATGACGACTGATCTCAAGGT